ATGCAATCTCAGTCCAGATCATATCAACATTCTTTAAGGATATGGAAAAAACAATCACTAATTTTATATGGAAAGGAAAAACACCTCAGATAAGCACAACACTATTGAAAAAGAACAAAGTAGTAGGTCTTACGCTCCTGGATCTCAAAACCTACTATACAGCCACAGTGGTCCAAATTGCCTGGTATTGGTATAACGACAGACACATAGACAAGTGGAATAGAATTGAGAACTCAGAAATAGAACCATCAACCTATGGTCAGCTGACCTTTGACAAAGGGCTGAAATCCATTAAATGGGGAAGAGATCGTCTGTTTAACAAATGGTGCTGGCAAAACTGGATATCCATTTACAAAGAAATGAAACAAGATCTATACCTCACACCATACATAAAAACTAACTCCAGATGGATCAAAGACTTAAATGTGAAACATAAAACTAGAAAGTTCCTCAAGGAAAAACTAGGGGCAAATTTAGGAGACCTAAAAATGACATCAATAGATTATCAAGCATAACCCAAAATGCACAAACAGAAGATAAAATAGATGAATGGGACCTTCTAAACATTAAATCTTTATGTGCTTCCAAATACTTCTCCAAAAGAGTAAAAAGAGAACCTACAGACTGGGAAAAAATATTTGGTAACAAGATATGTGACAAAGGACTCATCCCTAAAATTTATAGAAAACTCCAAGACCTCAACAACAAAAAGCCAAACAATCCAATTAAAAAATGGACAGAAGACATGAATAGACACTTCACCAAAGAGGATATTCAGGCAGCCAACAAACACATGAAGAAATGTTCACGATCATTCAGCCATTAGAGAGATGCAAACCAAAACAACAATGAAATACCATCTTGCCCCAGCACTAGTAGCAAAGTTCAACAACACAGAAAATAACAAATACTGATGAGAATGTGGACAGACTGGGACTTTCATACACTGCTGGTGGGACTGTAAAATGATAAAACCACTGTGGAAAGGGGTATGGTGATTCCTCAAAAAGTTGGAATTAGAAATACCATTTGACCCAGCAATTCTATTACTGGGCATATATCCTAAAGAAGTGAGAGCCAGGACAAGAACAGATATATGCGTACCCATGTTCATTACAGTACTATTTATAATAGCAAAGAGATGGAAACAACATAAGTGCCTATCAACAGAAGAATGGATAACCAAAGTATAGTACATATGCACAATGGAATATTATGCAACCCTAAAGAATAACGCAGAATCAGCAAAACACTACATAATGTGGATGAACTTAGAGGACATTACGCTGAGTGAAATAAGTCAATCATAGAAGGACAAATACTATATTAGTCTGCTATTGAAAAAGTCGAGTAGGGGTTTATATATGGAAGGAAATTTTCTTTTTGGTTACCTAGGGTGGGAGGGGTGGTGAGGGAACACTGTTAGTTAGGGAGAGACAAGTATTGATTTGGGTAAAGGGAAGGGCAATGTACCAAATGTGGGTGATCAATACAGTGGCACTGAGGAAGAGGAAGACAAAGAGGTACATGGGAGGTACAGACACAAAGACAAACCTTTTTGCACATACAGTACTGCATGGTCAGTGTGGTAGTTAAGTTTGTGTGTTAACATGGCTGGGCCTGGCTGAGTGGCTGGGCAGCTGGTGATAGTTACTCCCCATGATGAGACTGGTAATCAACTCCATGGTGGGATCTACCATAAGCAGCTGAGTAGCTGCTTTGGTGATGTGGTCTGCTTCCCGTATATATGAAAGCAGTTTTGGGAATGGTCTCTAGCTTATGGCATGCTTGAACCCTGCATGTAGCCGTGTTGTTGTTCAGCAGTCTGCCGTGGTCTTCTGACCTTGGGACTTTTTGTTTTTTAAATTGTGATTTGTGTGAAAGTTTACAGAGCAAATTCACTTTCCATACAACAGTTCACATATACTTTGTCTCATGACATTGACTACAATTTACTACAATGAAGCAGCTCCCCTCCCACTTCCTCCCCATAGTTACCTCTTCTCTGTGTCCTCCTTCCCTCCATGCACTCCTGCCCCCTGAGCTGTCTCCCTCTGCATACAGAGCCAACCTTGGGACTTTCAATGGACTTGAATTAATGTCCTGCTATGTGGTTTGATGACATTGAGACTGTGCCTTTTTATTTGTCAACCCTGGGCTTGTAAGCTTCAGCAGCCAGCAGCTGTGTGAGTGAAGAAAAGCCTCTAGTTTCAGTGTGCCGGGAGCAGGAGGCAGAGCTGAAGCCCATGCCCCTAGAGTCTGGCACTTGGAACTTGGACTTAAAGCCTCCAAACTGTAAGAGAATAAACTCCTGTTTGTTAAAGTTATCCCACCTGTGGTATATTCCTCTCAGAGCAGCGCTAGGTAACCCAAACAGTCAGTGATGGCAAACATTGATCTACAGAGTTGGCAGACAACGTTTCTACAAGTGTATTTGTATGTGCTCTAAGAATGGCCAGATATATAGCAGAGCTGACAAGGGACAAGGTTGTGGTGACTTCTTGGCCACAGCCAGCTACCCAGAAGGACTTAGTAGTTGGACCTGTGGGCTCAGGACCATGGTCGCAGTGGATATCAAGCTCATTGGCATAACATACCACACAAAAACATTGTTCCACATCCTACTTTGGTGAGTAGTAACTGAGATGTTAAAAGTTTGCAAGTGGCCATCTAGGTGCAATAATGGGTCTCTCCTGGTTCAGAGCAAAGAAGAATGAAGAAAACCAAAGATGCATAGAAACAATTAGTCCAACAGACTGGTACACCATGCAATCCTCAGCCTATATGACCATAAGACTAGAAGAACTAGATGGTGCCCAGTTACCACTGTCAACCACTCGGAGGAGGATCTATGTAGAAGATCCCGGACAGAGTGAGAACAATGTGGAACAAAATTCAAAATCATTAAAAAAAAAAAAACCAGGTTTGTTGGTCTGATAGAGCCTGGTGAAACCCCTGAGACTGTGGCCCCTACCTGCCCTTAAGGTCTGGAATTGAACTGACTCCTATGGCTTTCAGCCAAATAATAGACAGGCATATGAGCTGAACATTAGGTAGATATACTCCTTGGAGAGATCAATCATGGGAGAACAGAAGGGCTGTGTATGCACAGGGAAACAGCTCAGGAGGCAGGAGTGCATAGGAAGGAAGACACAGGGAAGGGGTAACTGTTGTGAGGAAGTGGGAAGAGAGCTGTTGTACTGTGTGAAATTGCGGTCAATGTCATGAGACAAAATGTGTATGAGCTGCTGTATGGGAAATGAATTTGCTCTGTAAACTCTCACCCAAATCACAATAAATTTGAAAGAAAAAAAAAAAGTAGAGACTCAAAAAGAATCTTGTATACCAGTGTTCACCACAGCACTATTCACACTAGCCAAAAGGTAGAAACAACTTAAATGGCCACATAAAATGTGGTACACACACACAATGTAATACTACTCAACCAGTAGGAGAAATAAAGTCTTGATACATGCTGCAGTATGAGTGGAGCTTGAAGACATTATGCTGAGTAAAATAAGCCAATCACAAAAGAACAAATATCGAATGATCTCCTTTTTATAAAAAGACAAGAAAAAGCAGATGTATCGAGACTGAAGTTTATTAGAGGTTACCAGAGGTGAGAAGGATGGGGAAAAGAGGGTTTAACAGTGACGGAAAAATCACATTTGATTAAGGGTAGGGTTGCACAGTCAATTACTATAATTGCTGTCAGTAAGTTGTATACCTGTAAAAAGTTGAATTGGCAAAACTTGTGTGATACATATATTTACAACAACAACAATAAAAAGAGTAGCTGCTGATGCTGTTTATGTACAGCCAAGCACCTCATGGGATTTAGTTCCTTGGTCTGGAGTTAGGGTTATGGCTTCATGGGACATCCCACTTAATTGGCCTAATAATGTGTTTGGTGCTTCTCTTCTTCCTCCTAGCTCACTGTGTACCGCCTGGAATCTTAAAAGCTTGCAAGCAGCCATCTAAGGCACAACAATTGGTTTCTATCACAACACAGGAATGAGAGTCAGGAAAAGGAGAAGGATATGGAATGTGTGGCTCATTGCCTCCATGAACAGTTGGCTCCTTTATCATGAGGCCAGAACTGGATGGTGTCTGGCTACCATTACTGAATATTATGATCAAAGATTCCACAGAAGAATCCTGATTGAAATGGAGAAAATGCAGAATTTTAATTCTCATGGAATCTAGACTTTCTGGAGCCATGGAAGGTAGATGAACCCCTAAGACTACTGTCCTGAGATAATCTTTAAACCTTAAACTAAAAATAACCCCTTAAGTCTTCTTGAAACCAAACAATAGTTTAGCTTTATTAGTGGAAAAAAAAAAGGTCAGCCTTGAGAATTATGCTCCTTTAATAACTATCTACAGGGAATTAAACTGACAACAGTGACTCTGAAAGAATAGATAGGAACCATAGGGGGCAGTGAGTTACTGTGAACAAGGCAGGAAAACTCAAAAAGACAGGGTAAGAATGGTTATGCAACCAGAAGAATGTAGTCAGTGTCACTTAATTATACATGTTGAAACTGTTGAATTGGTATATGTTTTGCTGTGCATATTCCCAACAACAACAAAATAAATAAAACTTGTTGTTGTTAAGTGCTGTCGAAGTCGATTGCCCAACCTTCCTTCTGAGGAGTGGCTGGTGGGTTTGAACTGCCAGCCTTCTGGTTAGTAGTCAAATGGCTTAGGCACTTTACTACCAGAGCTCCTAAATAAAACTTAGGGAGAAAAATACAACAACAAACCCTACACATTCAGGTATTATCTACCAGCAAGTAACAACACAGAAATGGACTTCTGAGTAGGAGGATTCCAGTTTGTACCCATTGCTTCTCTATCCTCATAAAATATAATTTTGTACTATCTCCAACTAGTTAAAAAGGTTGACTGTAGTACTTATTTATACAGTAAAGGTTATTCTTTGCAATCCAAGGAAGCAGGTTGGGTATGGGAAGTGAAAGTAAAGAGGAATTTCTTACCTGTGCTATATTTTTGTTCAGAAGATAGACTCCATAATCAAATTGTAACTTCTCTCCTCCTTTTGGATACAGTGGAAACCTAAAAAAGGCAAAGAAAGATCAGAAGTTTTCTAAAACTAAGTAAAAATCACCTCCAAGTTGTTGGCAAAAGCTGAAGTTTCTTTGGATAGAGAATAAACATTTGAAGCACTGGACTAAATTATTTCATATGGTTAGTCACTATAACCTATTATCTTAACATCTTTATAATATTAGCCAATTCAGAACAACAGCTACCCTCTTTTAAAGGAACTATTGAACAGGTCATGCTAAAAGGGACTAATATTTAAGAAAGTGACCCATGAACCCCTAGGAGTTGAGGTCACTCTTCCTATTCATATTTCATAAGCTTGACACTCTAAGATTAAGATCCTAGAAAATGTTTCCCATAATATCTTAGATCTGACAGCTCAACTTTTACTACATATGAAAGGAAGATTAAGGAAAACAAATCAGACTTAAAACCAAAGATTTCTGTTCCTGTTAAGGCAGCCAGTCAAATAGACAAGACCAAGAAGAGCCAAAATTCATTCATATTTGGTGGCTATCTGGATGTTACCTCCTCAAGGCAACATGCCCAGGCCCCAGAGCTCTCCTGAGACTTGCCATTTTAACCTGACTCACTGCAGCAAGAAAGGCACGAGATCTGTGGCTCTTCACGAAGATGATGAGCTATTTTAGGGAATAAGTTTCCCTCACTAGTTCTCCTTCCCTACCCTGCAACTGAAAACGAAAAGGTTAGAGTACACCTTGTAGTCTAGTCATTTTTTCCCCCTGATTCTGAAAGACCAAGCATAAGTTTGATCATCTGAAATAGACTTCTCTACAAACTGATCAGAATTTAGAGTCAAGAAGAAAACTTCATTATCCTTAGTTTTACAAAGTATGATTGATTACTCTTGAGAATAAAATAATCTTTCTGAAATGTAGCTTGATAATTACTGGGTATTCTTAATTTCCATTGTTTTTAATTGCCTGGGGGAAAGACATATTCCATAAAACTTGGAAGATATTGTTTCTAGGAAAAGTAAACTAGGGGAAACAATTTAACTGCTTTATGTAAAATTCTCAACAGGGGCTGGTTACACAGTATCCGAAAGGTAAATCTGTTGTATTATAAAATTACAGGCACTGGGGAGTGAGCAAGGTCATGAACTGTATTTATTCTCTACTACATACAGTTTTGGGAGCTCTGGTAGCATAGTGGCTAAGACACTTGACTGCTAACCAGAAGGCTGGCGGTTCAAACCCACCAGCCACTCCTCGGAAGGAAGGTTGGGCATTCCTACTTCCATAGTGATACTGCCTCGGAAACCCAAGGAGGGGTTGCTATGAGTCGGGGCCGACTCGATGGCAAACAACAACAACATACAGTTTTGGAACACCATGCTTCACAGACCCATTAAGAAGATACAGCTTTGTACTTAATTGAAGCAGTAAAATATAAACTAGGATATGTGTTTGGACCCAAATTAAAATACATAAAAATGACAGCAAACCAAATTCAGGATAAGCAAAGAATAACACCAGACTTTTGCAGAGTATCTTGGAATCATTCAAATTTTTATAGGGTAGCTTGCAAATAAACTACCTAATTGCAAAGACATAACAATGCACTTTGGAGCAATCTATTAGTACTAAAGCTGTGTAATGTGTAGCTGTTACTCTATAAAAGCATTGCATATAGACCATCTACAGAGCTCTCCAAACCCACGTTGGTCTTGTTAAAAGTGTTCTCAAGTCAGCTCAGACTCATAGCAGCCCTGTGCACAACAGAATGTAACACTGCCCAGTGTTGCACCATCCTCACAATCCTTGCTATGCTTGAGCCCATTGTTGTAGCCACTGGATCAAACTATCTCATTGAGGGTCTTCCCCCTTTTAACAGGGCTTTGATATCCTTCTCTAGGGACTGGTCCCTTCTGACAACACGACCAAAATATGTGAGACAAAGTCTGGCCATTCTCACTTTCAAGCAGCATTCCGGCTGTACTTCCTCTGAAGCAGATCTGTTCGTTCTTCTGACAGGCTATGGTATTTTAAGTATTGTTTGCCCACACCACAATTCAAATGTCCAAGCCCATATTTACTTCCATTTTCAAGTTAAGAATATAGAATGGTTTTATATGTTGAAAGAGTAAATTGAAATAAGCATATATTAAAAATTAAGACTTTACATTGCTGAAAATTGGATCTCACAATGTCAACCTTATTACTACTTCGCTGGGATTTCTTAATACAAAGAGCCACAAGATGTGTCTATAACATTAAAACAGAAATCTAACGAGCAATTAGGGTGAAAGTTTCTAATATGGAGATGTTGATACAGAACAAATACTAAGAGTTCACATTTTATATTTCTTTCTGAATTCTCAATGGGTCACTTCAAGTTGAAGAGTGTAAGAGTTCATAACTATTACACATTTATCTTACTTAGCAACAGTATATGGATTTATAGATTTATTAAGCAATCTAGAAAAATAGAGCCCATTTTAAAGAGTAAAACCTGTTACCATAAAGACATAAGATAAAAATCAAAGGCATTTTATTTCAATATAGGTGGAGAATTAGATTAGCAAAATGTAACAGACAGATAAGCATTAGCTATTCAAGTACAACCAGAAAAATGTCCTTAACATCAGGAAATAGGACTTTCTAAAGGGCAGTATTATATTAAATCACTGTTTGAAGACCTATGGATTTCCTATTACTACACTCTGAGATACAGGCAATTAAAATAGCTAATATGAAATTAATTTCCAAATACACATCTGTTTGAAAAATTTACTGACTCTACAAGGTGAAAATAAATGAACTAGAAAGCAAGACATAGATTATATATGAATAATATATGGAGATCTTTAGAACATAGCAATTTCAATGAGTATAGAACTATGACATGATTACCAAATAAGCTAATGTATACACAATACTGCATTATCAGTAATAACAAACACTAATCTACGAGTAGATACACAGGTAGACAGGCAAGAAGATTAGATATGGGCAGGCAAATGGGAATATACCCATGACCATATAAAGGTCTGGCAGACGATATTCCTACATACATATTTGTACGTGCTACAAAAATGTCCACATATATTATGGAGCTAACAGGTGACAAAGTTAGGATACTTTTTTAGCCACAACCAAACACCCTGAGAGAGTGAGTAGCTTGGCCTGCAGGCTTGGGACCATGGTCAAGGAGGACATCAAGCTCAACTGGTACAACATAATACACAGAAACATTGTACTACATCCTTTTTTGGTGAGTAGAGACTGGGGTCTTAAAAGCTTGCAAGTGGCCATCTAAGATGCAACTATTGGTCTCTCCTCATCCAGAACAAAGAAGAGGGAGGAAAATCAAAGATGCATGGAAACAATTAGTCCAATGGATTAGTCCAACAGACTAATGGACCATGGGAACCTCAGCCTATACAACCTTGAGACCAGAATGATTAGATAGTGCCTGGGTACCAACGCCAACCACTCAGAAAGGGATCAAAATCGAAGATGCTGGATAGAGTGGGAGAAAAATGTAGAACAAAATTTAAAAACACAAGAAAGACCAGAATTACAGAGCAGATAGAGGCTCGTGAAATCCCCCAAGACTATGGCCCCTAGTGACCCTTCAGGACTGGAAATGGACTCATTCTCATGGCTTAACTCTCAGCCAAACAATGGACAAGCCTATGACCTGAAGAATGACACCAGGGAGATGTTCTCCTAAGAACAAACAACTCTAAGTCATCAGAAGGGGTAGCATTTGTGTATGGAGAAAGCTAGGGAGACAGGAAGGACAAGGTAAGGAGGACACAGGGAAAGGGCATCTATAGGGAGGAAGTTGGAAGAGAGCTGTTACATTGTGGGGAATGTTCTTAAGCTGTAAATCAGTTCTTAAGCTATAAATCAGTGTCAGGAAACAAAATGTATATGAACTGTTGAACAGAAAATGAATCTGCTCTGTAAAATTTCATAAAAAGTTTTTTTTTAAAAAAAGTTAATGTGATCATAGGTTGGATGAACAGAAACAGAGCATCTAAATCAGAAAATATGCTTGTTCCAACTACTTTGTATTGGGTCAAGCTATACCTAGAGACCTGCATTTCTGAGAATCATTATTTTTTATAAGTATACAGATTAATAATTAGAATGTTATATATTGGTTGTTTATAGAGAAATTTTGCAATCATCTCATATGACTATAAAAAGCATATGCTGAAGAAGAGTGGACCAGCATCACTGTTATTTAAGAGAAAATAACTTGCTTTGGTCACCTATTTAGTAAGTGGAAGGAACATGGTTTCAGTATTATGTCTTCAGATTATAAATTCAATATTGTTTCTACTGCCTCTGACCTTCAGGATAAAGAGCTCTGGTAGCATAGTGGCCAAAGCACTTGACTGCTAACCAGAAGGCTGGCGGTTCAAACCCATCAGCCACTCCTCGGAAGGAAGGTTGGGCAATCCTACTTCCGTAGTGATACTGCCTCAGAAACCCAAGGAGGGGTCACTATGAGTCGGGGCCGACTCAACGGCACATAACAACAACAACAACAACAACAACTGACCTTCAGAGATGCACAACCGGGGTAATAAGGGGAATGGAACCCACAGTGCTGAAAGGAAGAGTTGAAGGCACTGGAGCCGTTTAGCCTGGAGGACAGAAGTCTCAGAGAGAACAAATGAAAAAGACTTTCAGAGGGAGAGGGATTCTGTTTGTTCTGAACGGCTTTAAGTAGGGAGAACCAAACTTAAGGGGCAGAAGTCACAGGAGGACTGGTTTTACCAGAGTTATTCAAAATCCAAAAGACCTTGGGAAGAAGTGAAATATCTACCACTACAGACTGCTAACCTAAGGCTAGGCAACAAATAACGGACACACACCCAGGAAGTGCAGTGGTTGGAATGGTAACCCTCAAAAATATGTGCCCACATCCTAATCCCTGGAACTTGTAAATGTGACTTTACTGGAAAAAACGTCTCTGTAGTGATAATTAATTATCTTGATGAGATCATCCTGGATTATGGATGGGCCCTA